TGTTTTGCGCACGTTTAAAAAAAGCTTATGTGCGCTGTAGCGCACCAAGATAAATATGTAATGTGTGGCCCGCCCACTACCCTGATGCTGAATTTTCAACACTGGATGTGATTCTACTAGACTTGTTAGTTCGTGCTCCGAAACTCGAACGAACACTGTTCCGAAGCACATACAAAAATTGGGTTTCAAGCTCTATTTTAAAACCAGTTATGCACATGAATATTAACTATGTTTGCACGAACATGTTAGTTTAAACCCGTTACACTTTTATTAAAATACTTACATAAATTCAAATTTGTGCATTTGCATAATATATATTTCTGTTATTACGTTCACATATTGCGCTCATACAGTAATAGTATTGCATTTATAATTTATTTACTTATGGCTCTCCATACAATTAATAATAACCGAATCAGACCACGTCTTTAGACAAATGTTTTCTTCAGACAGCCGAAATATTATTAAGTTCGACGTGAAGATAGTTCAGTTAAATTAGGCTGCTCAAAATAACATTTCTTCATCCATTATATCAAAATTGAAATAATTGAAGAAAATAAAGAAAAACGAAGTATTTATATATTTGAGAATAAACTTTGTGCAATCAAAAAGGAATATATATTTTTTTCTTGTATACCTTTAATTACAACCGTCATCAATAAACTTTTAATTAAAGTCATTTAATTAAAAACGTCTATAATCAAAAGACATCATATTTAATTGAAAAATTTTTTATTATTTTTATTTTACTTTATTTATACAGTATTACATTTTTTAAAGTCATGTTTAATTTTAAGAAAGTCATACTATTTAATTAAAAGGTTAAAAATTACAGATTACAAAGTTTCATGTTCGTAAAATCGATTTTGAACTCGATTCGAGCATACTGAGTTTCACTTTACATTATTAAATACAAGTGATTAAAAAACTCGTGTTTAACTGATTCAGATTTCGAACAGGGGCGAGCAGAGTTCAGATGGGCAGGATTACTCCCTAGGTTGGAGCCTTAATTGCCTTAATTATTATTAGTCCGGAATTGCCTTTAAATTTTAGGACATAATAAGATCATAAAGATTGAGTATTTACTTAATGTTGTAATCTATTTTTTTTAAAAAAAGAAACCCATATGAATCTTGATAGATTTAGACTACAGTATAAGGCTCATAGCAAATTTAAATTACACTGGCATTAATCTTTGATTTATCGCTTGTAGACCATCTATATTCTAATTTTATTTTTATTAAAATATTAATCAAACAAAAAATAGGTATTAAAACGTTACCGGCTTGACCTGGAACATAATTTATAGGCAATATAGCCAATTATAATAGGATCAAGTGTAACGTGAAAGTCAACCTTTTTTAGCAGAACATCCTTCTGAACTCTAAGAAAAAAAGATCCTTGCTAAACTATGGTATAAGACATGTCTTATTCAAACCTTAACTCTAACTCTAATAACAAGAATTATTACTTTAAATACATCGCTTTATTCGATTGTTTGATTTCACTAATTGGCTGGAATCAGGTACCAACTACGTATAAAGTTGATTAATGAATAGCATGAAAATTATGTGAAGTTTAGATAACCAATTTAGTCTATGAAATATCGATATTAATAAGGCATTAATCGTTGGATTGCGTATAAAATGGTCTAATTTTATATGTCCTACTATGTATAGTCTAATCCGCAATGCCTTCTTTTAACCTTACAGATACTAGTCAAAACACAGATCCATCATTAAAAACAACCCAAGCTTTTTAACTTTTCCTATTAGTTATATAAGCCACCGTGTTCAATCCTTACTAATCAAAATCCTTAAACAAGGACCGATTTAAGTTTCATCATGGATGGAAATCGTAGGTTTGCAAGAAAGATGAATTATAAACAAAGTCGTGAAGGTTATTTCATGGGTTATGATAAACTTCAAGAGGTATTATTTTTATATTTTGTCTATTCATAATAGTATATTCATAACATTACTTAAAAATTTAAATTAACGAATAGGTATTGAATATATGTTTGCACCTTGGAGTCAAAGTAGTTACTATATATGCATTTAGTATTGAAAATTTTAAACGCCCAAAGGAAGAGGTTGATACGCTTATGGAACTTGCTAAAAATAAGTTTGTAGAACTATGCGAAAAAAGGTATGCATATTTTATCATTATGCCGATTTTTTTCAACTAATTAATGTTTTTAATAACAGCTAACTAGTTAATAAATATGATGTATGTTTGAGAATACTAGGAAACATTACTCTTCTTCCAGTTGATGTTTAAGAAGCTGTAAAAAAAGCTGTTGATGCTACTAAACATAACACTGAGTAATTTTTCTTTATTATAACAATTTTAATTATAATATAGTGTATTTGGTTTTTTGTGTCCCTTATACTTCTAGAGATGAAATCACTTCATCTATAAAATCTGCTATAAAATTAGTTGAAAATAGTCATATACAAATTAGGTCTGTTTATTACTTATTTATGTTTATTTATTATGTAATATGTAATAGTAAATCAAAATTAACATTTTGTAGAGATATTAATGAAGAAATAATAGAAAATTATTTCATATATATAGTAATCTACTATTAGATATTCTTATTCGAACTTCAGATGAAATTAGATTAAGTGATTTTCTATTGTGGCAGGTTTGTTCTGATATGATTTTATATTAAAAAATTTGACAATAATACTATTTTTAATTAATATTTATATTATTTAGTGTTATAAAAATTGTTATATTCACTGTTAATTGTTTTTGGCCGGAATTTTCACTTTGGGAAATGTTACCAATTATTTTAGAATATCAACTTAGTTATAAATCATTAAAGGTACCTAATGTTTTATTAAAATCGATTATATTTCTTAATATATTAATTTATATAAATTTAACTCATTTATTTATTAGGAAAAAGATCAAAGTCCGGGTTGTAAATTGCCTCTAGTCTGTCTTAATAAATAAAAAAAAACTTTTATAAAAAATATAGATTTCTAGAATTATAGAGTTTTTCGTAATTGGATCCAGCTATTTAAACAAGTTTAATAAAAAAACTTACTTATAGAATATTAATGAAAAATATAAAAAAAAGCAATAACCGAAATATGATTTATAGAAATATATAGTGTTACATAGTGTTTTATAAAATGTGAAGTACGATTGGATCTCATTATACAAAGTAGCCATTTAATAATAACTCGAGGCCTTTATGGCAGTAGGATCCTTGGTTTTTGGACTAAATCCTTTGTCTCCTCTTCGACTAGCTTTTATTTTAGGTCATGTTTTAGCAATGAAAATCAGTAGCCCCAAATACGCTACTTCCGTATACAGAAATGCAACCCCTAAGTGCACGTTCTATGAAAAGCCTCCCTAAATACTCATCTTCACTTGAGCCCTACTAGTATTACGCCTATATATTTTTACCTCCCTAAATGCAGTACCTTTCTAAGTGTACATTTGGCTAAATTTTTATATATGGTCCTGTCGCATTGCATTTAGAGAGGTTTGACTGTATATGTGCTGTACATAAATAATTCTTCAATAAAAAGGAAAATTTAATGTAAATTTAGTTTGGTTTGAATCAGTTAGTTAATAAACAGTTCGATTAAGAAATGTCTCGACTTAAAATTGATCTGACTCACTAATAGTGAGTTATTAACCGAGTTTAGCCAGTCGTTTTGCATCTCTATTTTTGATATTATCAAATATGTTATTATAATTACATAATGATTATATCATAATTATATACTACGTATACCTTATTTCTTTTTTTTTGTCAAATTTGACGGATGCTGAAAATATAAAGCCTATTAAATTATAGGTGCAGACTTATGACATCACATCACTTAGTTGCGATATAAAAAGTCAGGCTGATTTATAAATAAATGTGACAATGACGCCTCAACTAATTGCAAAATGATTTGCACACTGGCAGATTTCTAAGTTACACAAAATTTAAAGCCTACTAGGCGCCCCATGAATACCATCGAAATTATAAAAAAAAGGTACATAAAATTTTATATATGTATTGAGTTAATTATTTGAACGTTTGCTTTTCAAACTACTGTGATCAGTGATTTTCATACATCACACCGGAAATCAGAAATCTAGAATAAATGCAAATCTGTGATTGGCTAAAAATATTTTTTATCCAATCATGTATTGGTATTTTTTCCAGATTTCTGATTCCCGGTGTGATGTAAGAAAATCACTGATCACAGTAATTTGAAAAGCGCTGTAAATAATTGAGTCGTAAATCTATTCAAAATGATTCATTAGCAATCTTTGATGCTTTTTGAATTTTTTTAGGTTCGAATTTTTTGATATCCTTCATAAATATCATCTTTGATAATTTTACTATTTAATGATGCAATTATGGCTCCTTCATATTAAAAGTCATATTTGATGGCTTTTAAAATCAAGCTTGTTAAACAAGCCTTCAACTTATTGTTGGTGTACAACAATATAATATGTATTTAAATTTATTATTGTTATAACTTAATATTTATAATTTGATGTTTTAATCAATTGCACAAATTTTTCTATAGTTACTAAAAATCAAAGTACATTTTATTAATATATTGTTTTTTTTAAAAAAAAAATACTATTACACTTTACAAAATTGAAAAATTCATAAAATTAAATGAAAATTGTAAATTTATTAGTTCTATAAATTATAAAACTATTAAAGATCGAATTTAAATAAAATGAACTCTAATTTCCAGTTGCTTATGAAAAAAATTTTATTCGTTAGATATTATTTTTTTTTTATAAAATTTATTAAAAATATATGTTGTTAAAAATTTGGATGTATATAAATCATTAAATAACAAAATCAGTATTTGAATTTATTAGTTAAGGTACAACCCTAGTGACGCACCTCTGAAACATTAAATGGAAAAATTATTGCATAATTCAAATCTTAAACATTTACAGTAATTTGCTAAAATTATTATAGAAAAGACCCTTGTGATTAATCAGACCAACTGATTTATGCATTTGCTTTTTATATGCAAAAACTTGAGATAGGTTAGTCACTCTCGGTATATAGTTAAACAGAATTTTAGAGACAGTTAAAGTATACGGCATTCCCTCTGATTAATATCGGGTACAAAAAATTCATTTCTGAGTAGAAAAAAATAAAGACCAGGGCACTGTATTCAGTAGATAAAATGTAAAAAATTTTGGAAACAAGTTTATAATTTTAGCGGCTGGCAGAGAACAAACAGGTGGCATTTATAATTGATTAAAGGTGATTTTAGCGTTCAACATTTTAGATAAGAATATCTTAAATGCTATACCAGGCCTGACCAAACGATAAAAACTATAACATAGTCTTGTTGAGAAATTTTGGTCAGCCAGAATCATTACGTCATAGAATGCACTTATTCGAATACTTAATCCTTCAGTTGAGGAACTTCATTTATTGAAATTCATAATTCTCTGATCAACTTTATATAGTGTAAGAAAAAAAAAAGTGCCTAGCACATTCTATTGAAGAAAATAAGTCTAATGAAGTATATTAATTATTCTTTTCAAATAACGAGGGCAACACCGCCTGCCAAAAATTCTATATGTGTTTTAATCTTTCTCAATATAGTAACTAATGCATGATTTAATGAACCCATGTAGAGTGAAATTTTAATTTTAACAAAAACAAAGATCTTTATTTAACGTAAGAACATACAAATCGTTGAGAGGCGCTCAGATAAAACTTAAATTGTAATCTTTCTGCCACAATTTATACTTTTTAAAGACATCATTTATTTCTCATGACATCAGACATTTCATAATATGCGATAAAAGTTATTTGTTGTTTCACTTTATCAATTATGCATACTAAGAGTCATAGCTCTAATTTAGTTGAATTTGCATATATACCGGTAAATTTCGTCGAATTTCTATGTATATGCATTAAATGATGATATGCATATTAAAAACCAAAATCCTCATTTTTAGTTAACACTTAAAACGCACGTTGCTTTACGTTTCAATAGGGAAGTTTCCTTGAAAATGAATGCATAGAAGAGGTGAGAACCTAAGAACAGGAAATCCTTTGCGTAAGACTCTTCAACGAATACTGCAATGTGGCATGTGTGTTTATCTAATCTGGAAATTACTTGAAGCCCAATGTCGACGAATTTGCCAAATCGGAGAAATCGTTGAACTCGGGCGCTTTCTAACTATTGTTAATGCATTGCTGATCGGGTTATTAGATAGATAACGAGCCTTACTTAAAAAGGAATTTTAAAAAAAACACCTAAAAAATTTGAACTTGGCTGATTTTGTGATTAATATCAACAAGGTCTTGCCCTTTACAAATGCTAGCGCCAAATGGCTACCTAACTTCCAGTTCTAAACATCGCTGATCGTTTATCAAAATGTTATAAAAGTGTGCTTCAACGGCAAGGTTCAGAATCAAAAATTTGGCAATACAATACACTTTTTTGATCTTATAAAATAAAATCAAAAAATGGATCCAAAAGCGTTTGTATTGATTTTAAATTTATTCATTATTTTAGAATGCTTCGGTTAATATTTCTTTATAATTTAGTAAATGCGCGTCTGTTGTATTGGGAGGAGAGTTCAAACAACATCTTGACCTTACCGGTAATGATTATTTTTATCAGCCAATTAAAATGATGTATAATTCTTTGTGAAATTAAATTCCCCTGCATCATTGCTACGATATCTGTACTTTCATGTAGGCCATGACTTTTCAGAAGTGGACAACTACGCACGTGCTACTCCTAAATCCGAAACTAATTCCGTAGAACAATTGTCTAAGTATCTTACTTCACGTTGGGACGATGCTTTAGATAGATTACGTTCTATCTTTGTCTGGATCGCGGAGAATATCGCATATGATGTAAATGCTTTTCACTCAGGTACGATAAATTATCATGATAAATGTAATAAATACAAATATATATAAAATGTAATTTATTTAAAATTTTTTTTTTTTACCTAATAGGAAACCTCGGTCATTGTAGTGCCGACGAGACGTTGAAAACACGTAAAGGTGTTTGCGATGGATACGCCGAGTTATTTAATGAATTAGCTCGTCATTCTGGATTGAATACTTGGAAGATTAAAGGCAAAGCCAAAGGTTTGTTTTAATATGTATTTACATTATAGTCTTTTTTTTATCTTCACCATCTAATCACATGACCCAACCAACCAGGCATCCACTTTAAACATAGTGATAATATTGATAAAAAGGAATATGATCACGCATGGAATGGTACTAAATATAAAGGAGAATTTCTCTTAATCGACAGTACTTGGGGTGCTGGACATTTAAGTGGCAAAAACTTTGAAAAACGTTTTGAACCATTTTATTTCCTTACACGCCCAATCAATTTCATATATACTCATCTTCCTGATGATCCAAAAGAACAATACTTGTCACCTTCAATTACTAAAAAAGAATTCCTTAATTTGACACATGTTAGACCACCATTCTTTGCTGCTGGTTTGGAATTCCGTGAAATCTTTGGAAATGCTATTACTACTAATGATGACTTGATCGATTTTGAAATTGCAAGATTTAATGATGATGAAAGTAGACCATTACATGCCGTTCTTGAATGGAATGGCAAAGAGCATGAAGTCTTGATTCAAAGGGTGGTTGGATATGATTTAGGTTCAGGAAAAGTTTATAGGTTGCAAACTTCATGCCCAAAGCGTGGTGAAGGAAAACTTGAAATATTTGTATTATTTGAAGGGAACAAGGTAAGCTAATTTTTCTCTTTTATTAAATTTGCACAATTATCAGTTAACTTTTTTAACATATTTTGATTCATATTCCATTTATAGGGACCATTAGCTGCGAGTTTCAAAATCATAAACAAAGGAAGCGGTAAAAATTATAGTCCAATTGTTAAGACCTACAAGGTTCCATTCAAATTTACCATTCAAGTGCCAATTCATTTTGGCCTAAAATACAAGAAAAAATATAAATTTGAATTCTCAGTATTTGATTTAAAAGAAGAGAAACATCCTGAATTCTCTATATTATCTCCGGATAAAAATCCTCGAAAACTTTATAAAGCATCTAGATGTGAGGATGGAAGTTTTACCTATGAACTTGAAACGACAATTGATCAAAAGGGAGATTGGAAATTAGTTTGTTCATCGAATGGAAAGAATTTCGATTTTATTGCGCAATATCATGCTGATTAATTATAGTTATAGGCAGTGTCATGTAAATTAGTGCATTATTATTTTTTTTAATTGCCCTATTTATGTTTATGACTCATATTATTTATTATCATTGTATATCTGAAAGTTAATAAAAATCTCAAAAAAAAGATTTTTAACTTGATATATATCGGTATTCTGGAAATAAAATTGATCTATTTTGTACGTACATTTGTGAAGAATTTAAATTTTTACAATATGAAAGGTTTAATATAAAGAAACATCGTACGATGAAAAAGAGAGTGAATTAGACTCGACAACAAATTAATTCATTTTTGAATTTTACAAATGATTTAAGATCAAGTGTAACGTGAAAAAATCACAATTCGAATTTGCCAAATACGTAGATTAGTCATGGCGTAATTGATATTACATGCCTTTGTAGTAATACGATATATGTGAATGTGAAGCATACTAAGACATGGGCATTAGTGGCAGTATTTTAGCCCGCTTAGAAATTTCAAATTGTAACAGAGTGCAATTGTTGCGAGTATAATTAGTATAGAAATGAAATAAACTGGTCAATTTATTAAATTAAAAGTCTTTTATAAATTTGTGGGCCGAACCTGGGCTTCAGAAAGGTCTAATTTTAAAACAAAGATTGATGCAGCCTATTGCTTTTTTTTTTTTAGCTCAGTCGTGTTGGTCCATTTTGAACCCTAACTGTGACCATAACCAGACTTTAAGAAATTCCGTTGGTCATCCGATTGAATTTTTTCCTCGGGTCAAATCACTAGTTTTGAAACCTTTCCACATAGGTATTATAGATATTACGTATTTATATTACTTGCATCTAAATCGAATAAGCATTTGTAACACCTTCATGTATAATTGGGTTTGACGTACGTACTGTACGTATATACGTGCTTCACATATTCTCCAAAAGATGCTTTAATGGCATTGATGCCATAATTTGCTAGCTCAGCTGATGGATTTATTCATCTCTATCCAAGTTTTAAAAAAATAATCGTTGACACAATAATATTAATGGAAAATACAATTCATCTACAATTCGTTGATAAAAAAAAACGTCATGATGCAGACGGAAAGGTCAGATGTCTTGAGATGAGTCTGATTTCTGTTATTTCCATAATAAATTTAACGTTAAATTCCAAATTCAACAATAAGCCCTGAAGGAACATGTTTAAAAATTTTAGCATTCTATGATTGACGAAAAAAACTGCACATTTTAATAATCAAAAGAATAAAATCCTTGGTAATCAGGAGTCAAATTACTCTTTTCTTTTTAATAAAATATTGGTAGTAACTATCATTTCCATTAGAACGACCGAAAAATTTATATCATATTTAAGTTTTTATATTTACAATTAATTAAACTTTCCAAACATGTTTGCAAGTTTCTTTATAGGAGTGATGTCCCCAGTTTGTTCCTGGGTAAGATTTTCCAGTAATAATTCCTAACATCCTTTAATTCCTTTAGATACATTGCCTATTTTAACTAAAAAAATCATCATAGCAAAACATGTTTGTATGGTACTGTATTATGCCATGAATAGTGATGCAGTAAATCGTCTCAATGAATTTTTGAAATACGACAAGTTCCATTGTACCGTAAAAATAGTTTCAGACACGTCCTATGTGATCACTGAATGATTTCCATCCCAATAAACAAACCGAATACAAGCATTACTTTGAGAAATAACAATAACCTTGGACGACCACACTACATCGTATAAACAACTACACAATTACGACGCTCATGGATACAAGAATTAAGACGACAACAGAGAATTTTACTAAAGAATCTAAAAGAAAAATATTTAGAATTTTCTTTATTGTAAATTGAGTTCTTCATTGAACGTACTTTTTTTTTTTAAAGGCACATAATTACGAAAATGTTAAAATGAATAATATGGCTAAAGCTGTATAAACGTCCAAATGCCCATTATTGATGAAAATAAACTGATTTTTATTTTTAAGCCTTTAAGTAGTCTGGCGAATAATTAAACTGTTGAATAATTATTAGCATACAAAATTATGACAAATTTTAGTTCTGTAGGCTAAATGATCAAATCCGGAGTTTTTATGAATCAATGTAGATTTTTTAAAAAATTTCCACTTATTATAAAGGATTGATTTTGCTCAAAATTTTCATTTTTGCGACACATATCTCTGCTATACAAATATACTCAAATTTTTATTCAACACATTATGGTAAATTTTAAATGCAAAGATCAATAACAATTTCATCATTAAATAATTTTATAAATTTGACTATGCTTAATGGCAGGAAGTTTTTTAATATTATTTATTACGTGGAAAGGTAACAAGTTTAACAGAAGTATTTTAATTGTGATGAAAATATATATATATATTAATAATTGAAAATTTCTTCATGAGCAAGCTTTCATGTATTTTATCATAAATTTTTCTGCAGATGTATGACTTTGGCTATGATGACAGATTCTATCAATATGACTGGTCGAAATTTTATAATAATAATTTATGCTTCTATCCCATAAATATTGTAAAACCATATTAAAATTTCGTAAATTCTCAGTATTGTTACTATAGTACTTGTTGTATCTTGTAAATTATTCTGACCTTTTAGATTTATATATTACACAATGATGAAAAGATGTTATTAGTGAAATTTCTTATTTTACTGGTTTAGCTTACCAGATTCGTACAAACACCGATCTATGCATCAAGAAGATGTCATGAATGGCTCGATTTATCATTAGAAAGCATTTATAGACGGTTACCTTCTTGAAGTATATATTGGTGTTTGTGCGAAATTGATTAGCAAAACCTGTAAAGATTTTTTAATGACTGAAGTTAGAATTAATTAAAATTCATTAGCATAAAATCTAACCTTAGAATTATGGCGGTGCCAATACGATGTAACAATTCATCTATCTGATCTATTATATATTTAATATTTATTTAGTAACATTATCTAAATATATAATTTTAATTTATTATTTTATAAGGATACTTTCTTTACCTTTGTTATTACTTTTTCTTTTCCTACCTACCATAGCAACATTTTTTGTGCTAGGTATTCTTAACCAATCATATTCAACAATAAATCCACATTTATCAATTATTTCGTGAATATATTCTTGATATGCCTTATACTTTCCACTAGAAATTATCTGTTTTTCAAATGTATATTTTGTTCCGGAAAGTGCGTAAAAACAACATGGAATTACCATAAAACTAATAACCATTTAGCATTCTACTAATATTAAATAAAAAAATTATAACTGCATCATAAAAACGTACTTTGTATTATTTGAAGACCTTGAAGCTATTATTGGTATCCTAAATATATTAGAAGATTAAATTAAATTTTAAAGACCAAATAATAAATCAGAATTAATTTACAAATTTACCAAGGAACAAGTTCATCAGCATGGTTTCCAATTATCCAATCTGCATCTGGATAATTTACAACATTTGGTTACAACGTTTCGACTAAATAAATTATATTAAAAATTTTTTAGAAATATTCGAAATAAAGAATCTTAATATTTTTCTGTACCTATTAATTTAGATCCCTTATCTTGAAACGCGTCCCAGATTTTTCTTTTTCTTACGTCCCTCATGTCCCTCAGATGTAAGTAAAAATGTCAATAAACCATTTCCACATCCTAAATCAACAAATGACTGTAGCCTACACACAATATTAACTCATGTATTAAAATTTATACTAAATTAAGAGGTATAACATTTTTAAAATACCTTGTTTGACATTTTTCCTCTCTTTCTAATTTCCATAATGAAATTAACCAACTTGCAATCGCTATATCCTCAAATACAAATTTTGCTGGGTCTGTTTTCTCTGTCCAATTTCTATTAAATATAAATTTTCAAGTTTGTATAGGAATATAAAATTACGTATTTGTATAAAAAATAATTTACTAACTAATTCTTTGGCATATTTTTCTTTTAAATATTTATATGTTTGCACGTATAAATCTTTCGGTACCAGTAAATCATGGTGAACTCGTTTTTGGTAACCAATAGATGTGTTATGACACCATTTAAATAGTTTTTTAAATAATTGTGTGTATTAATGATGGTTGACGCAACCACGTGATGCTAATTGTCACGTGCTTTTACTTATAAAAGATTAACATCAATTTTGATTTTTTATAAGTAATAGCATGTGACAATTAGCATCACGTGGTTGCGTCACCCATCATTAGTGTGTATGCGTATTTCTAATATAATTAATAAAAATTAATAAGAATATGTACATAGAAAGTGTGTGAACCGTGATGCGGGTACTATTTTAGATACGATAAGACGTTTCGTGACCTAACGACCAAAATCGAACTATTCAATATATTTGGTTCTCTCAATGAGACAAATCAAATGATAAAAATATCTTCATATAAATAAGAAACGTAATTTGTTGCTTAAGAAAATTGCAATATATTTAAACGAATGTTTGCATTAATCAAATCGACATTAGTGATTAAGAATTAATAAAAGTTC